CTAAACCCTAAACCCTAAACCCTAAACCCTAAACCCTAAACCCTAAACCCTAAACCCTAAACCCTAAACCTGAACCCTAAACCCTAAACCTACATTACAATCGACTTAAGCTTCCTCTATACCCCGGAAGCCTCGAGACCTTCCTACTAGAAATTCAGGGTCGCGGCTTTGAGGATGTAGTGCTATAGTATTATAAGGGTTTAGGGTTTAGGGTTTAGGATGTAGTACTATAGTATAATAAGGGGTTATATATGGGATATCCTGATCCCAGTTTTTGCTTATGTGCTTTTTTGGGCCGTTATTGAGGATGTAGTATTGTAGTCTTCATGCAATAATACTTGGAACCGTCCTGCATAGTAATTAGTTACTCTGATTCGTAAGGCCCCTGGCCCTAGCCCAAAGCTAAAACCTGACCTCGTAACTTCAGAACCTGACTGCACAGCAAACCCTAAACCCTAAACCCTAAACCCTAAACCCCAAAACCTGAACCCTAAACCCTAAACCCTAAATCCTAAACCGTTGCAGGGCAAGCTGAACGGACGGCAGTGCGTGGCGATCGACCCGCCCAAGCACCTGCATGCAGCTTGTCTTTGCTGCTCTTGGGCTCCGGTTGGGTACTGCCCCCCCTACAGTAGCAGTCTATAATGGGGCTACTTTGAAGGGCCAGGTCTACATCTCAACATGTATGCATGCATATATATATATATATATATATATCTTGCTCATTGGGGGCAGTATCCAAGGTGTAAGACTGTGTGCTTTAGTGCAAACTGGTTCGTCCACGAGTTAAGACGACAGGAATGTAATTCGTTCTTCTGCTTGGGGGCTTCAGGCAGACCTGCCACGCGAGCCTCTTCAGCACGGGGTGCCTGTCATGGTAGCCGGGAGGTTGAAGGCCATGACTTCCTTGAGATCTATGTCATTTCGGCTTTGGAGTATAGGGTTTATAGGGTTTAGGGTTTATGTCACTGAGATGAACTTGGAAGTATCTCACATGTTCTGCATGCACACAAAAGTCTTAAGAGCCAAGAGGAATCGTCCTGCTGGACGCGAACGTAAGACAAGACTAGGTTAAGCATGTGCGGAAATCAGTATCTGATAGACACATGTCTACTCTGTTAGTCTGTCAGAGTATGATACAGTATGGTGTTTAGGCAAGAGAGCCTTGACTTGTGAGTCCTTTGAATTAAAGGAAATGGAAATCGTTAAAGAAATCCTTGAAGGAGCGCTTAGACCTGAAACCCCAATATAGGCTCCGTAATAATTAGCATAGGGTTCGGGGTATATTAAACTCCTACTTATGATAAGGAACCCGCCAAAGAGTATAGGTAATTATTCAGGCCCTTACATTAGCGGCTCTGAGGTCAGACGGGAGCAGTGCTACAACTTGACGCCCTTGCTCAAGCAAGGCCCGTCTTGCTGAGGATTTTCAGGTGGGTAGTTACCGTTATAGGAGCCTTATAGAAGGTCTATATACCGTATAGAAGCCTTATAGAAGTCCTATGTACCCTAAACTCCCCACCTGTAGTTTCCTGTAGGCCCTTCTTGCAGAGGATTGTCCTTGGCGTTCTCCTTGGCGTTCTTCTGGTTGGCTCTTAGGACTGTAATAACTTTTTGGGTTTTCTATATGAGCTATAATAGGTAGGCTAAAAGTTTAACTTTTGGGAGGGGTTCAGAAGTCAGCCAAGGTTCGCGGATCTTGAGGCCTTGGTATGTAGGCTTTGGGGTTTGAGGTTTGGGGTTTAGGGTCCATGTCCATGGTTTAGGGTTTGGGATTTAGGGTCTATGGTTTAGGGTTTGGGGTTTAGGGTCTATGCCTTAGGGTTTGAGCTTTGGGGTTTAGTGTCTATGGTTTAGGGTTTGGGGTTTAGGGTTCAGGGTATTTTTAACGTTCGGAAGTCAAGAGTCGAGGGTGTCAGGGTTCGGCGTCTCTTGGGCTACTCTTGCTGAGGTCGTAGCTGTGGTAGTTCTTCAATTTCGGAAGTAACTTGCCCAATGTTCTCAGTTATTTCATGTAGCGCAATGGCCAGGTTTTCTCTTCTCATTAGGAATTCGGCCGGCTGTGGCTTGCCCTTGTAAGTGCCCGACGCCGAAAAGCTAACCACCCATACCTGTGACCTTGAAACACACTATAGAGCGGAAACCCTATCCCTAAACCCTAAACCCTAAACCCCAAACCCCTAAACCCTAAACCCTGTAACCCCCTGGCAAAGTTTTATTAAACCTGAACCTTAAACTTTGGTGCGAGATCTGGCCCTGACAGGGTTGAACACGCTCGAGTTGCGGTTCTTCCCGAAGCCAGACAAGCCCAGGGACGAAGCGGAGGCAGGGAACCTTCAATTCGCGATTGGGTGTGCCTTGGGCCCCAAGAACCCTATACATGTCTACGGCTCTCCCTGTTAGTTTTCGCATCCCTTCACATTCTCTTAAACAGGCGGGCTTTTCGGCTAGAGGTGGGTTTATGCGGCGGCTAAGGTCGGCATCACCTCTGGGGTTTAAGCCTTTACTATCCTTTACTCCCTCAGCCCGAACCCTATATAAACCCCAAACCCTAAACCCTAGACTAAGCCCTAAACCCCGAATCCCAACATCCTAAACCCTAAAATCCTAAACCCGAAACCCCTAAGCCCTAAAACCCTAAACCCTAAACCCCTAAACCCCTAACTCAGCTGATGTTGAAACATCAAGGTCGGGGCTGTCCTTGGGGCTGACAGATCCGCTTCCGGAATCTCTTTCGCACCACCCCGACGTCTCTCCCTTGGAACGCTACGAAGCGATTTAGAGCTTATGAGTTTCGGGGTTTCGAGTTTATGGTCTAGGGAGAGGGTTTCGGGTTTAGGGTTTAGGGCTAGGCTGTGTGTGCCAACCCTGATCGCTATGCATGGCACATTCCATGTGCGACCATGGCTTCAAAAGCTGGGTTCTTGTTAAGGGGTTTAATTTAAGTTACCATAATAAGGAAACCATATTATTTACTATAGATCCCTATTATGGTAACTTAAATTAAATCCCTTAACAAGAACCCAGAAAGTGTCTGGCTCTGAGACTTCATCGGCTAGTTGACAAGCCCTATTACGTCATTCTATAAGGGATCCAGAGGGGCCATAATTTCGACTGTCAACACCCAAAACCCTAGTTTAGGGATTCAGGGTTTAGGGTTTAGGGTTTAGGGTTAAGGGATCCATAGATAGGGGCCATAATTTGGGAATAGAGTCTTGAGTGATATGCTTCACTGTGATAGTAGAGGGACCATGAATGTTTTTTTGTGATTACATATTCCGACCCATAAACCCTAAACCCTAAACCCTAAATTGCCCAACAGAGGGCTTCAGGGTTTCCTTTACGGGTTGTATGACCTCCCAGGTTCCTCTCGCAAGGGGGTTTTGGAATTCGGGGTCTTAAAGGTTTAGGATTCTGGACCGCTTTAACCCTAAACCCAAAACCCTAAACTCTACGGGTGTCTTGGCGCGCTTTAGGACCTTCGCGGGTCTAGGTTTCTTGAGTACCTACATGGTAGAAAGTAGGATATCCATAGTAGGAATCAGCGTTGTGCTTTGGATAAGTATCCCCCATATAGGTACTTAGGACCCTTTGGGTAGGATCTGACAGACTGTACATGCCAAGCTGAGTCTGTTTTGTATGCTTTGACCCTTAAGTCGACTGTCACTTAGTTCTCCAATACCCAACCTTTAAAGTTTTTGGGTTCTTATTATTTCGTAGTAATCTGAAAGTTTAACCTTTTATTTCCGTGGCTTATTGGGGAAGTGAGGACACCACCCGAAACCCTGAAGTCCTAAACCCAAACCCCTTCTTGAAGCGATTGAAAGCCTCACCGTGGAACCTGTGACCCTTAAACGCTAAGACCCTCCGCCGTGAACTCCAGACACGAAGGGTCGCTAGTACCTATGTTTTAGGGTTCTAGGTTTAGGGTTTAGGGTTTAGGGTTTAGGGTGTTCGGACTTGCTCTTATGTTTTGGGGAAGTATCCCCCAAGACAGTACCTAGCATTTTTTGAGAAAGCGCAGGACAACTACTGCGTCGGCGTTGTTCTAACTCGACCTAGGCGGGATGGGCGCAGGATTCGATTCGCGGCTTCTTCGTGCCTTGCAGTCTTTACTTTCATACCAACTACTAAACCCTTAAATCCCATTGGTTGTGTTGGGCTGAATAGCTAATACTGGTCTTATGATGATTCCTACATATATATATATATATATGCACCTACATATGTGTATATACATACATATTAGGTAGATGGTCATAGTACATTATATACCCTATAATCCCTAAACCCTCAACCTTCTAATCGTTCAGGCTGTTATATTATCAAACCCTGTCTCCTTCTAGCAACTCCGTTTAAAGGAACCCTTCCTATTCTGATTATTATTTGCCGCATTTCCGTAGAGTGTGGGCCGACTACAACCGTGGTTTCGTGTTCCTTAAACGGCTTAGACCGGATGCTTGTGGGTTTAGGGGCTTAGGGGTTCAGGGTTCAGGAATTGGGAGGTTTAGGGTTTGCGGGTTTTGGGCTCAGGGCTTCAGAGGTTCAGGGTTTTGTCCTGATCCTGTCATTGCTGCTGCTCTCTTACCTACTGCGAATATCTCACCATGCTTGCATACAGCATTCCAGGTTCCTCAAACTCATGTAGCCCAAGCTCTAAACCCTAGGCCCCTAAACCGTAAACCTTTCCGATTTTCTCTCCACCGGGAGTCACGACCTTCTCCTTCCCATCTTCCTGGAGTCATCAGAACCCGAGCCCATTTTTGACCCGAAGCCTTGAACCCTGAACTGCTAATCCTAGCAGCTTTTGGCAAATTCCGTGGATCAAGGCGCGGACGCTGAATGGCCTTCGGACCGTGAAGAAGTAGCGGTGGCATTGCTATGATTCTAATTGCCATCACAACTACAGCGTCCGCACGTTGTAACTGACCGTGGTATCGTGTGTAGTCGGTTTAGGGCAGCGTTTAACGACTGTCAACTGTCTGCTGGCTTTGAGCGCCATGGCCTTCTACAAGGACGGCTCCCAGCTGTTCGAGGCTGGCGGTTTTGACTTAGAAGCCAAATCGGCGTCCCTCAACCCTTACACTGTACACGTCTACCCTAAACCCCTATAAACCCTAAAGCCCTAAGCCCTAAACCCTGAACCCTGAACCCCTAAGCCCTAAACCTTTAAAGCCCGCAGACCCTAAGCCCTAAACCCCCACACTCCCCAGTCGAAGTGAAGAGGCTGGGCGATTTCTTACATAAAGAAAGGTCGGAGAATAAGTAACTATGCCTCCTGAGGGGCCCTAAAGAAGATCATGTTATGACCTGAATACCCGGACCGTCGGAAAGGATCCAAAACAGAACCCCAAAAAAGGCATTGCACTGTCCGCATATTGCTGCAAGTACTTTTCCTTTTTGGCGCTACTCCTTTTGGCCCACCTTCGCACTTTTTAAGTGCCTTTTGAAGCCATTTCCCTTTTTGGGGAGCTGGGTAAGGACTCGGGTTCTTTGGACTTTGTTGCAATGTCTCTGGCTCATAAGGCCTGAAGACCTCATATAGGGGTCGAATAATTTCTGACACTTATTTTGTTTAAGGGTTCCTTCAAATATGTGAAACCTTGTTGTAACCCTGAACCCTAAACCTTGTATAACTCTAAACTTCATATGGCCCTCAACCTTTTATGTCCCGAAACCTTATATAATTTAAACCCGAACCTTATTAAGGCTCCTGCGTTAGCGACTAAGACGCTTTGGAAGAGCAGTGTCGTTTTGTACATGTGTTTGCCTTCTGAGTGTGTCTTAGTAGAACAACCCTAAGCCCTACACCCCTAATTAAGCCATAAGCCCTAAAACTGATCCAGAGATTCCCACACTGAGTGCTAAGACGGACAAGGCGGATCTTTAATGTAGGGACCTAAATAATTACCAATTTAATTTTGGGGATTCCTCAGCATGATGATAGTATAATGGGCCCCAAAACCCTATTCTAATTATTAAGGCCCCTACATTACCCGAAGGACTGCGCCAGGCATCCCCTTTGCTTCAAGAGAACACCAAATGAGGTCAACTCTGTACACCCTAATCCCTACCTGTTGCCGAAAAGACCTACCTTTGTAGGGTTCCTTATTATGGTTTCTATATGGGAGTTTCAGAAAATTAGGGTACCTTATTTTGGGGTCCTTATAATAAGGATCCTATCATTTAGGGTACTATATTAGGGTCCCTCCCCTGTTCTCGGAAACCCCATATGTAGCTTCTTGAAGGCTAGGTCTTTTGGGCCACAGGTAACGCCTAACGCCCCTTAGACTCCAGAGGAGTGGCTTCAGCTCGCGGGGGACAAGGTAGCTCCAGTGTCGGTTCCTTGGCGTTCTTCCGGTTGCCTCTGAGGACTTTAACTTTTTTGGGTTTCTATATGAACTATAATAGGTAGGCTAAAAGTTTAACTTTTAGGAGGGGTTCAGAAGTCAGCCAAGGTTCCCTCTTTGGGCAAGGACGATGCGCTGATCGTCATCGCCGCTTGGCCAGCAGCTCTTTGGGGCTTCTTTCCGGGATCCTTGAAGGGTTCCGTTGAAGGTTCTATACCCTAAACCCTAAACCCTAAACCGAGTTCTCAAGGAGTACAGTCGGGTTTTGGGGGGGGGGAGATACCCTAAACCCTAAACCCTAAACCCTAAACCCTAAACCCTCGGAGTTTTCTTGCAGCATGGAGATTTTGCTGCAGAGGCATCGGCCGAGGGTGTAAGGGTGACGTGCATAGCCAGATAGGACGAGGGTTTTAGTAAGGATAGGTTTAGGGCTTTAGGGCTTTAGGGCTTTAGGGCTTTAGGGCTTTAGGGCTTTAGGGCTTTAGGGCTTTAGGGTTTTAGGGTTTAGGGTTTTAGGGCTTGGGGTTTAGGTCTTTAGGGCTTTAGGGGCTTTAGGGCTTTAGGATTTAGGGTTTCGGGAGTAGGGTTTAGGGTCTAGAGTCTAGGGCGTAGGAATGAGGAATGTTCCGGAATGTCGCCAATTTCCGATTCTCCGTCGCTCTGTAGCATACAGAGCATGGGCCAGATTTCGGGGAGGTTTATGATGAAGTGCTTGGTTTTTTTGTTTTAAGCTATCGGTGTTTCCCGAACTACGGGATATTGACCTCGATGCCACAGAGAGGTTTACGGAGCGTCTAAGGGTTGAAGGTCCGTGGCCTTAAGTTCTGAGGGTGAAGTGCCAGGTCCTTGAACCCCTTTTGGAGCTTGACCAGCTGAGGATATGCAAGCCGACTTCGTTCCCAAAGATTCCTCGCTGCTCGGCATGGAGTGCCGAAGCATTTTTTCACTTGGCGTTTAGGGTTTAGGGGTTTAGGGAGTGCTCTACCCCAACTAGTAGGCTCATCCTAGCTAGACTTTTCCTTGACCCAGACTCCCGGACGAATCCAAAAAGCAGATCCTCTCTACCCTAAACCCTACATGTTGTATATTCTTGACAGAACCTCCTTCAAGACGTGCATAACATCGAAATAGATACACTACCCCTACCAATGCAACCTAAACGAGACCAATAGGGCTCGTATACACTACCATTCTGGAATACCGCCCAACGCACCATCCTAGTCGTGTGTGCTTTTTTGTTTGTTCGGGGAGACCGACTTCCATGGTGCTAGAACCCAAAGCCCCAACAAAACCCTGTCATAATCGCAGAACCCTAACTTAGTGGCTGAGTAGGTAACCTTCAACTTTTTGGGCTCTTATAAGCCTACTATAATTCGAAAGGTTAACCTTTTTTTTGGCTAGGGTACTCAGCCCATAAGCTAAACCCTAAACCCTAAACCCTAAACCCAAACCTAAACCTCTTAGCCTCTTATTTTGTTCAGGCTCTCTTGAGGATTCCATCGGTCCGACAGCCTCAACCCGAGAGCCTTAGGTTCGCGTCTTTGGGGTCGAGGGCAGTCTTAGTTCAGGGTATCAGGTTTAGTGAGGACAGTTTAAGGCTTAGCGTTTAGGGGGCAAGGTTCAAGGTTTAGGTTTTGGGGTTCAAGGGTTTGCAGCTTTCGAGGCTTCTGGCAGTGAAATATGGGGGTTTCCGAAAATAGGGGACCCTAATATAGTACCCTAAATAGTAGGATTAGGGATCCTTATTATAAGGACCCCTAATAAAGGTACCCCTTATTTTCGGAAACTTCCAAATATGTCCACACCATGAACTCTGGTCTGACGACCTGAGCCTGACAGGGCGAAGCGCCAAACCGTAGACCCAACACCCTGAAATCCTAAGTACTGAACCCGATATCGGTGAACGAACGCCTAGTGCGTAAGTGTATATGTCATTGTATATTCGTCAACAATGCGATATGCATGTACGTGCGTGTACGTATACATATGGATGTATGAATGAATGAATGTATGAACGTGTATATATATATATAGGTAGATAGATAGTTACATATGATATATATATATATATATACATATATATATATATATACATATGTATATATACATATATACCATACAGTGCACCCGTGCTTTAAATGCAAGCAAGGAGCAATCCGAACGGCGGCCGCTTCGGTGTAGCCGAAGGTGCCAATGTCATCCCACTGATCTCCAGCCTGGTGGTCGCTCGGCCGATGGTACTATAGGGGCCTTAGTAAATAGAGTAGGGTTTTCTCGGCGTTCTTCTGGTTGGCTCTTAGGACTTTAACTTTTTGGGTTTCTATATGAACTACAGAAGGTAGGCTAAAAGTTTAACTTTTAGGAGGGGTTCAGAAGTCAGCCAAGTATAGGGGCCTTTGTAAATAGAGTAGGGCTTTGGGGCCCATCATACTATAACTATACTAAGGAACGCTCAAAACAGGGGCCTTGGTAAATAGAGTAGGTATTTGGGGCCTATGCTATAACTATAGTAAGGAACGCCCAAAATGTTTTGACCCCTACATTACCTACATTGCAACCCTTTAGTTGTCTATGTAAAGAGGCACACATACACACACACACACACACACCCACCTTCACCATGGTGTGATGTGTATCTGTATTCATCAAGAGATCTGAGTAAGTCTTCAGCATGTTTGTACGCACATATACGTAACAAGCGGGGCAAGCAACCAAGCAAGCAAACACACACACACACGCACACACACACACACACACACACACACATGCATGCACCCACACAGATACATGAACACATGCATGTGTATGTACGTGTGTATATATGTAAATTGCACTGCAAACTCTACCATAGTTTATGGACTTCAACTTCCACGAGCAGTTTTTCAAAGTCGTTAGGGTGTGGCGTTTGATGGATGAGGGCTTGATTGTAGAGTCCAGAGAAGGCGGTGGCGGATTAAACATGATGCCATGCAGAAGCTTAAGTAACCTTAGTAGCTGAGTGAGTACAC